AAAGACGGCCTCCATAGATAAACGCCGCAAACGGTATACAGTAAACCTGTGAACCCATGTTGAAGCATTCAATGGATTTCAATGCTGACCCAGCCTCCAACCAGGGGATTGCTTGCCGAAAGATGTTGAAGACGAAGAGCTTGTCAAAGAAGGCCTATGTAGGTACCAACGCACACGTGTCGCAACATAGAAGCGCGCCAATCCGACGATGCTTTCTTTGACTGAACTTTCAACAAGTCTTTTCGCTGGACCCTTTGGAAACCCAACTTGAAACCAGTGAGGCTTTCGAGAAGCCTCGTCCTGGCGCCAAAGTAGCCACAAGCACCTGTGTGCGGGCAACGATCCAAGGACGCTACTACGCCGCTGGGGCTGGTGGCTGGAGCCTTCTGGAGACTGAGTGCACTGTGATATGTTTTGGTCCCTTGCCTTAAAGATTGCAGTGGGGAAACAAAACTGCGTAGGTTTGGGAGACAGCCATCGACTTTTCGCACGCACTGCAGATACAGTGTTCTCCAGAAACCATCTATGGGTCAAGGACACACATGGCGATCACAGGCCGGGGAAGCAGGGATGGTGGGCTGATGCAAAACCACAAATCGCTGCGTGCTTTTTTTTGGAGGGATCACCCAAAGCTGCCAAACCTGCTCCTACCCCCAGCCATTGGCCACGAGACATCTATTCTATAGATCTGAAAACCCCATGGTAAAAGGCTGCGTTCACAACAGAATGCTTCAGCTGCAGCGAGCCGGTGATCCCCAGAATGCCTTGCGCTTTGCAAAGTGCCCACACCTCCATTGGTGCGCCAGGTGACTTGTCCTAAGGAGCATGATTCGGGGGCTTTCTCACCAGTGCGTTTCACCACGAAAGCTTTCACCTTCAGCAGAACTTCTATGGCCTTGGTGGGCGTCAGGGTTCAGCTGTGTAGTTAAGAACAGGTGCAAAAGTTTTCGCAAGATCATGATTTCGTTTTTTGCTTCCAAGCAAAAAAATCATATACAACCGAAGCACTGCACCGGTGTGGGGAGAAATGATGGTGTATCCATGCTTCGCCAAGTTCGGTCTGTCTTGGGGATAGGCGACAAAGGGGATGCCAAGCTCTCGAAGGTCGTACCCATTCCAAATGTGAGGTGGTAGATGATGTGCGACCACATTGGAAACCTGTTGACCCTTTGGTGTCTCCTTGGGAGCAACATCTTCACTCGGTTTCGGTGCCGCAGCGGCCGCTTTGGCCTTCCTCATGCCAATTGCCTTGGCAGAAAGACGATAAGGGATGTGATGCAACTGACAAATCTTCTTTTGTAAGCTGCAAGGTGACATTCCTCAACATTCCAATGCTTCCAAAACACTGACTGCATACCAACCGGCGATGGGGTATATCCCTCCAAAGCTTTAACCATAGTAGGGTAATGCGGAGGAGTAGTCAAAGGTGGACTGGCGCTGCCTGAAAGGTCTGAGCCATCATACGCCTTGGCCTTGTCTCCAGCCTCTGACATGATCTTCTTGAGGGCACTGCTGCCTTCAGCCTCTCAGGTTTCAAGATGGCGGGCAGCAAGATGCGCAGATATAGATGACACGATGCAGGACGGTGGGCGGGCCTGGTCACAAGCCTTTCGCTTTCCGGACACTGTCGAAGACTCCTCCAATGGCTTTGGTGAAGGGGCAGACGCAACCTGCAGTAAACATGGCAACAGCAACCAGCCATATGTATGTATATACATATATTAATATAGAATATATATACATATGTTCCTCACTCGTGGATCCTTTTCCAATCCAACCACCCTACAAAAAAAGAATGCTTTTCTCTTATGGCTTCCTTGGCTAAACATATATCCAGTGGCCCCTGGCGGGTCCACATGGCCGCACTTGCTAAGCCAATGATGGAAATGGTCTGAAGTGGATAACCATGACGCCGCCCTTGGTCCCCAGTGTGTGAAAGCCCATTCGCAGTGGTTCATGTAGTCTGTGAAGGCCTTCATCCTAGGCGTTGCAGGTCGGAAGCAACTATAGCTACATTGGGGTCGGTCATAGTGTCATAGGCCTGAACACGCGAACCACAAAACGATGCAATAGAATCGGTGAAATCAAGAGCAAAGCGTCTTCATGCGCGCTGGATCAAAGTTTTGAAAGTACTGCATGAGTGCGAGACACATCTCAACCACATCTTGCCTGGGCCTCAAGTACCCATTCTTTGGAGCCTGAAACGGGTCTCGTGGGTAGATTCGAGACGCGTCATCATCTGCCTCGCACGAAGGTTCTGACTCCTCAGACTCTAACTCCTGCGGAAACCCTCCCTCGCAGCGAGGCTCGCCCTCCCCCGTAGATTCCTCCTCCGACACTTCTTCACCCTCAACCATTTGTGTGGGTTCTTCTTCCCCCATAGTCTCATCACGAAACTCGCCATCATCATCATCATCATCAGCATCAGCATCCCTCAGTATCACTAAGGGAGGCATAGCCTCATCATCATCATCATCATCGTCCACAAACCCATCATCCCCTCCTTCCCCCAGTCTCAGGGTTGGGGCGTTCAAGGAGTCATCTGACGGAGCATCACCAGGGGCGTTGTCTTTGGTTCCATCAATCTCTGAATCCAGAATCGCTCCTGGTTTGTCATCCTGGAGGCAAGGCTTTCAAAGGTCAGTATGGGTAACGTCGGAAACAAAAACAAAAACTTAGCTCAGACATGAATTGAATGTGTCCCACCTTGGGTTTCGGAGATGACCTCAAAAGACTCTTCATTTCGGTAACGCGAGGACGGTGGCCCGTTTTACCTGACATGGAAAGGTTGCCAGGAAACATGAAACCAACAGAATCGAAAGCAAGCAAACAAACATGCACCTGCGCTTCAGTGCCACTAGGCTACTGCTCCTCCACAAATAGCGGAGACCGCCCATGAGCTTTTTGATATTACTTCCCTCGCGCGTGGCCAGGGACCTCTTCGTGTCCATGGGATCGGTGGGTTGCAGCAAACGACCTTCAAAGAGGTTGTCCAGAGCCAAAAACACGTCTGCTGCATAGAACCCAGAGCAGCCATTTTCTGGGAAGCGGGCCACGAACGGCTTTAATCAAATGAAGTTGTTGACGCAGTCATCGCTGCTTGGTCTCACAATCTCGTTGTCAAGTTGCGTGAGGTTCCCCCCCTTCCAAACATCAGAGTTGATCAGCTCTGTGATTGTCACTGGGAGTGACGCCTTGAGCTCGGCAGCGTGACTGGCCACATCCTGCTCACTCCATGAAACCTTGCCAGGTCCTTAGCAAAAGCTACCACATGTTTAGATGTTGACTGCTGTCGAGCGCACAACTTCTTAGAGAAACAGTGCCACTGCCAAAGGGAAAAACGCACGCGTTACATAAAACGGAAATCTAGTGACTCACACTCTTCCATTGGCGCATTTCCTGCTCCAAGGGATTGGCCATTGTCGCAAAACACTGAGGGCTCGATCGCAACACTCCAAATCAAAATCAAAATGGCTGCAAAAGCATAGAGGTCGGGCATAAGAGAAACGCGCGCTCTCACCACAGGCTTAGATTTTTGGAGGGTATTCTATGTGTCTTGTAGGTGGGATGAAGGGTGGGCGGTGGCACCTTGGCAGGACCTCCTGGAGCCACGCCTTGGCGATCAGCTCTCGCAGGTTGCGAGTGGAAAAGTTGCGTTTGGTGAGCTGCTGCGTCAGTTGCGCAACTTTAAAGCTTTGAAATTGAAACGCACTCCACGCGCGTTTAAAACTAAGTCCTGGGCGCGCAGGCCCGGCGCAAGGCCCAAGGGAAAAAGCCAAAACGGCTCCAAGCAGCATAGTGGCCAAACACTTTGAACCAAGCGAAAAACTTGAACATGGTGAGTTAAAATGTTTTTCCCGGACGAGCCTTTGGAAGGGAAAGACACGACACCGATAGCATAGTTTTGCGCCTAACACTTTCCTAGCGCAGCGAACTTCAACCTTACAAGTATCAGGTCGATATGAATGCTCATTTTCTCTGCGACACTCTTGTGTGACACTCTTCTTGTAGGGCACTCTTGTGAGACACTCTTGCGCGACACCCTTGTGAGACACTCTTGTAGGACACCCTTCATGGTGGAACATTCTTTGCAGGAAGCATTCACAAGAATGCGTCGCAGGATGCAGCAACTTTGGTAGCTGAGCCGTCAAGGCAAAGCTGTGGCTGCAGGATGACGGGCACACGGCATCATTTTCAACACTATGCACCATACGCTGTCGTTAGCAGAAACGCTGCGCAAAGGACACGATTGGAGTGTCTAGGTAGTATCTTCTGTCGTCGCATCCTCAACGCATCAGCGTCGTATTCTACTCACTCCCCCCAAAACCTCCCCCGAACCTCCCGTAGTATCTTCTGTCGTCACATCCTCAACGCATCAGCGTCGTATTCTACTCACTCCCCCCAAAACCTCCCCCGAACCTCGCGCAGTATCTTCTGTCGTCACATCCTCAACGCATCAGCGTCGTATTCTACTCACTACACGAACGAAACCAGCCCCCCCCAAAACCTCCCCCGAACCTCGCGTAGTATCTTCTGTC